TATCTAATAAATACATATCTTGATAAGATTTAGAAAGGTTTTTAAAATTTAAATGTCGAGATAGTGCTACAGAATATTCATATTGAGATTGTAAACAATTTTTATCACAACAATTTTTATTAAAAGATTCTTTAAATTCATTATTTTGTAATAAATTTATTTCATCTTCTAATTTTTGATTATCATTATCTTGTTTTTCAAAAGAATCTATTGTTTTATAATATATTTGATTAAACTTAGAAAGCTTTAGCTCAGTCCAAATCTCATTATCTAAAAGATTATCTTCTGTAGATTCTAAAATTTTTAAATTTTCAGATAAAGATAAACTATTATTTTCTAAAACTAAAAATTGAAATTGCAAACATGAAAGATCTGTTTGCAATTGAGTATTTTCTGTATAAGTTTCTTCAAAAATGTTTTTGTTTAAAGAAAAGCTAGACATTTTTAAAAAAATAAATTTAAAATATTTTAACAAAAATTAATTTAAATAAATTGACTTTATATATATTTTAAATATAATAAAAATATATTGTTATATTTATTATAATAAATTTGTATAATTTTTTTAAAACAATAATTATTAAACAATGAATATGCAATTGAAAAACAATAAATAAAATGTATGTCTGTACATGCATTCTGTGGCAAAAGCATTTGATTAACAAATTTTATTATACTATTTATAATCAGATATATTGTTCTCATGTAAGCAATACAGATTTGGTAAATTCAGTTTTATTCAAATCTGAAAGAAACCGGATTTATATCCAATAAGTTCAAACTATACATACAGGTTTTTATTCTGCAGTTTTTAAATGATAATTTAATTACTTTAATAATTAAAAACTATGCACGCTTACAAATAATACCAAACTTTTATAATTTACAGCTGTTCTTACAAATTCTGAGACAATTAATAAAAATTGATGCCGATTTGGGTAAATTTTTTTATTAGCTGACAAAAAAACTTATCGAAATCGGCATCAATTTTTTATCAGTTGTTCCAAAATTTATGAGAATAGCTATAATAAAAAAAAACATCATGATACTGGTATTTTTGAACCATCTACTAAAATTAAAAAATTTTAAAGTAGTTTTTGAACCCAATCTAATTGAATTAAAAACGAGTTATCTTCCAAACTGTCATGTGCCCCTAACCTGCACATAACCGTCGTAACCAACCAATTAACTTGTTACGTCTGTAGAGATCCATTCACAAACATTGAAAGTTTTGAACCAATTCGTGGAATTTAGTAAAGACCTTCGTTACTGGTAGTTTATGAACCCAATTCATCTGAAATTTTTAAGAACTTCATTACCAGACCCAATACACTTGAATTTAAAAAGGACGACCATTATTAGTAGGTTTGAACCAAATCCACCAGGAAAAAAAAAAACCTCTTTATGCAAGTTTTTGAACCCAACCCATTTGAATCTTTTTTTAAAAAAAATCCAACACAGGTAGTTTTTGAACCAAATCCAATTGAATTAAAAGTTGACTTTAGTTACTTTCTAAGCTGTCATGCACCCCTAACTCGCGCATAACCATTGTAACCAACCAATTAACTTGTTACGTCCGTAGAGATCTATTCACAAACACTGAAGGTTTTGAAATAATTCATGGAATTTAGCAAAGACTTTCGTTACCGGTAGTTTATGAACCCAATCCATCTGAAACTTTTAAGAACTTCATTACCAGACCCAATATACTTGAATTTAAAAAGGACAACCATTATTAGTAGGTTTGAACCAAATCTACTGTAAAAAAAACCCCCTTCTTAATGCAAGTTTTTGAACCCAATCCATTTGAATTTTTTTTAAAAAAATCTAATACAGGTAGTTTTTGAACCAAATCCAATTGAATTAAAAGTTGACTTTAGTTACCTTC